CATAGAGAAACCTTTTTTCCAATTGGATTTCAAATAAGAATACTATTTACCTTGTCTGATTGTCAAAAGTACTACTCTTCTTCTTATTCTGCATGCTGTTATTTGTGAATGTGCATATGAATTGCAGGCAATTAAATGGTTTTGCCCTTTGGAAATCATTGTAAAATCGTTGAATTTTTGGCAAATCGAAGAAAAGTGATTAATAAAAATTGAAACAAAAATTATGTAACAAATTGTGTAATTAAAGAAGACGACAAAAAGAAAAAACAATTCCCACTGTCAGAATAACGCATTACTGGAGGAGGAGTAGCAAATTTTCAACACGACGTTACCTTAAACTACTACTTCAAAAAGTTTTTGATGTCACGCAATTTCGGGTATGAAACGAATAAAAGAAGACAGTTTTTTCTTTTACAAACAACTATTAATGGGAAAAACTGTGTGATTTTAGATAAGACTTTGTATATAAAAATAAGTAGCTACCTACCTACATCCATGTGCAAATTTTAGAAACGAAAATATACTATAAAGTTCTGTGAGTGTTAAATAATGTAATTTTTTGGTTGTTATGGACATAAAAGAAGAAGAAGAAGATGGAAAAAGCGACTACTACTACTTAGTATTCATATGTTGGTAGCTTCGCTTTTCCCCTGTTATAGCATTTAAATAGCCCCCAAAAGTATGCAGTGTTTCTTTTATGTTATATGGTTTGTTACTAGCCTAAATGTAGGTCTCATAAATCAAAGTAAAAAAACAATGAAATGAAACTGAAATTTGTTAAATGTGTGTGAGTGTGTTTCCAAGAGTGTGCGTAAGTGAGAACGTATGTGTGTGTATGAAGAAGAAAAAGGAAGTTGAAGTAGCCAGAAAAATAAAAAAATAAACTTTAGTCATTATAATGTATATAATTCAAAGAAAAATAAACTAAACCTATTCAAATAAATATATATGTATGTGTGTTTTGTGAGTAAAATTGTCATTTGACCAAACGTCATATACATTTGTATATATGTACGTTTAAATTAGATTATATTAACCGTTTCCACGTGAGCATATATTTTTTACCCCTACATTTTTTTTTTGTGGGAAATATGATTTAAATCTTTGTTTTCCATTTTGAGTTAGTAAATGACTATTGGTGTGCATGTTTGTGCCAATGGCATTGAGTGTTGTTTGTAATGTAATTAAAAAAAAAACGAGACAATATAGGGCAACTTGTCCACTAATGTCTGCCAAATGGTCTGTCAAATAATTTGTTTGTTTTTTTGTTCCTACCCCTCAACGTCAGGGTGAATGGAGAGTGGTGAAGTTTCAAAAAGTATGTCATATCGTTTGTAACTCCTCAATATGATGATAGTCGTATAATATATACCGAGTGTGTACATTTTAAATTATTTATTGTCCTGCTGTGTCCTGAAGACAAGTAAAAAACACCTTAATTTCTATTTAATTGCTTATTTGATAAATAATTTTGCTAATATTTACATATACCTCAGGGATTGGAGGGTTAGTTAGTTCAATTATAGAGAAAAATTATAGAAAAATCTAAATTTATTTTAAAAAAATATAGAAGAAACTAGAATTTTACTATAGAAAAAAATCGGAATGTTTATAGAGAGGCAAATTAAAAAAAAAAAATGAAAAAACGGAATGTTTTATATAGAAAAAATTACGAATTTCGAAAATAATTTAATAATGAATGAATTTTCATAAGCGAATTTTAAATTTAAATAAAATAAATATTTTTATCGAAAAATTAAATATTGGTTTTTAAGTGAAAAAATGTGCTCAAAATACTGAATTTTTCGGTATACCTTATATGAGGACTAGCCCTAAACTTGAGTCAAAATCGATAATTGTAGTGCGGATATTTTGTAACCAATCAGAATTCATAATGGCAAATTAGAGCAATTTTGTTCATAAATGTCCTCAAACTGCCCGAAATATCGAAATTTGGCAGTATTGCAATAATTTCAAATACAACACTTTTTTTGCGCCCAAATAAACGATTACGTTTTTTAAAAGTACCAAAAATTGCACCCTTTCTCATGTGTATATTTGCATAGTCAAATATCAGCTGACTGGCAATTGGATATTCTAGTCTAAACAGTTGGGATTTACAAATCGATTCGATTTTAAAGCAGACATAATTTCCGCTCATTATTTATTTTCTGGACGTTTTTTAGATTTTAATAATTTTTTTTCAAATTAATGTAAATCCAGTTATCTGATAATTGATGATACATTTTGATTGTAGATTGTTTATTAATGTATGCAGTATTCAATTCAAAATAGGCAACTTTTTAGTTATTTAAACTTTGATGATACAACAACAAGCTAACAGAAATTGTCTCAGAATAATGTGAACGAATTCATTTGATGAGACATTAGATGAGATAATAATTTCTAGGTATTAATTACGTTATAATATATATATATATATATATATATATGTGTGTATATATTTAAGTGAAATAATAAATTTCATTTTGTCTTGAATCAAGTTTTCACATTCAGTGTAGACTTCGAACTTTGGTATTCAAAATGGTCAGTATTACAGACAAGTTGTATTTATTTTGCTTGATTGTAAAGCAAGAGATAACAAGAAAAAACACAACTCATCTAGCTGTCTACATATATACAGACAGACATATATACGATTTAATGAACCCTGTCTGATGGACTATTCTAGTGTTGATGGCCAGATAAATTACTATCACTATTTAGCTATGACTAATATTTTGGAGTTATGAAAAAAGAAGACATTTGTTAAATGGACTTTAGACTCCCAAAAAAATGATAGAACGTAATTGTCTGCGTTTATTACGTGAGACTGTAGATAGGTGGTTTCAAATATTACTGCTTTTGTGACTAGTTTTTACGCATGAGCTAGTATGACTTCCAGTAAACCTTAAAGAAGAAAAAAAAGGTTAAACAAAATTTAAGTGACTGAAAAGTGTTCTCATTTTCTGGTAGTTAATTGTGGCCGAATAAAAATAGTAACCAAATATTTTTGACATTTTTACTACATACGAAAATAGAGTAAATAGGTTGCATTGATCGTCTTTCCATAGTGGAGGAGCAGCGGAAATTGCTGTACATTTTAAATAATGCAGATTCTGCTTTAATAATTTTCTGAAATACTAAAAATGCCAAATTGGCGCCCAACATTGACATTTCCATGATTACCCAATTCAGTATTTTGAATATTTTTATTTAAAATAATGTCCATGTCATTGTACATGACGCCTAACATGTAGCACGAGAGATATTTCTTTAGAAAAACAAAAATATGAAAATGGCGCCCAACATGTAAATTGTATCGAATACATATACAATTATGTTAGTATCATCATAGGATTACATGACGTCCAATATGCAGCAGATTCTGCTTTAATTATTTTCTGAAATACAAAAATTTACCAAAGTGGCGCCCAACATTAACATTTCCATGATTACATAAATCAGTATTTTTTATAATAATGTTCATGTCATCGTACATGGCGCCTAACATGCAGCAGGAGAGATATTTTTTTTTAAACAAAAATTTTTAAAATCGACGCCCAACATGTAAATTGTATAAAATACATAAATAAGTGTTTTAAAAATTTATATTCAATTTAAATAGTGATGATACTAAAATCATAGGATTTCATGGCGCCCAACATGCTGATTCTGGTTAAATTATTTTCTGAAATACAAACTTAGAACTATTCAATGAATTAAATTTTTTCATTTAAAATAATGTCCCTATCATCGTACATGACGCCTAACATGCAGACGGAGAGATATTCGTTAAAAAAATAAAATAATAAAATCGCGCCCAACGTGTGAATTGCATAAATATACAATAAAGTACATAAATAAGGGTTTGGAAAATTCGTAATTATTTTTTCAAATAATGTAATATCATCAAGGGATTTCAGGGCGCCCAACGTACAATAGGGAAGACAGGCGCCCAAAATGGAAACTTTATATTTTAGTTGAAGATTTTACTGTTTTTTCAAGGCATTTAAGTGTGATTATACTTTAATTTTGGCATCCAATGAATGGGAACTTCATTGAAATTGGCGCCCAACATATGACTTTTACAAATATCCCATGAATGAATCCTTTTTTGGGAAATACCTGTTAATTTTAAATAAAATCATCATAGGATCTTTATGTAGGAGGGAAGACAAATGTTTTTTTTTTAATTGGGTGGGTCCAAAATTCTTAAAAAATTATAAAATTGTTGATGGTTGTTCAGAGATTTATTTGTATGTAATAATGTTGATTTAAAATTTCAACATTCTATGAACTGTTTTGGTTGGTGACCAATAGCCTTAGTAAATTTATTACTGAAATATCACAGAATTCCTTTCTATATTATTTTATACCTAAAAATATCTACTTTATTCTTATAACTTAGAATATATGACCGATCTAAAAGGTTGATGGAATTGTATTCCTCAATGGCACAAAAATAAAAAATAACAACGCAAGACACAACTTGCTGGCTTACAATTGTAAAATTATATACAAAATGTAAACATATGACAATTTAATTTTTTTGTACTTATGTAAATATATAATATGTAATCTACGAAGAAGAAAAAACACTTGTGAAAGCAATTTATCGCATTTGATTGATTAGATTTTCGATTCCAAATAGAAAATAGTTTTATACATTTTCCAAAATAACATATTTTGTTTATCATCAATTACAAAAACAAATTGCAAAGCTAATGAATTTATTATGTACATGTATGTATGTAGGTAGATATAATACGTGATAGGCGGTCAACAATATCACTTAATAAGATAAAACTGTTTTTGTAATTATTGTATACCATAATTAAAATGCTTCCTATTGATAACTAAATACGATATAATTTTTTTATCTTATTTCCAATTTCAGATAATCAAAACATTATATGCAACAGTATTAGAGAAAAGTTCAACTTTTTATGTGGAAATTTGCTATTCGAAAAAATAACTAAACAAAATATATATTAAAGAAAAAACACATAAACAAACGACAAAATGTTATACTCTGTTGTTATATATTTAACAAACATACCACGTCTACATTTATGGGCATTTGCAATATTAGGATATGTAGTTTATTATTTAATACAAGTAGTTAAGGTGAGTACTAAATATAATAACACTATTTTATTTTTAATTGTTAATTAAAAAATGTTAGATGCTTAATTTCATTCTATAGAACCCTATATTTATATTACGGTTGTTAACTCTTCTCTTTGCTTCATTGATTAACTGACAGCAAAGATGGGCATATTATTTGCATACCGTTGTTGATGCGTTGATGTTTTCTCTTTACATTTTTTGTTGTTGTTAAAACAAAAATAAACATTAACTAAAAGTTTTCTCGATTAATTAAATCCCGCAAACAAAAATCGTCTTTATTTTCCCATTATTCACTGATGTTATTATTATTCTCTTCAGTTGATTTGTGTAATCATAACACCCACATCAGGCAAAACCCTGCACGCGTGCTCTCTCGCCAAAGTAAATAAAAGCATACTCTCATGCACATTTAATTGAAACAACTGAAAACCCACTGACACATCGACAACGCAACGCAAATTTGTTATTGTCTGCCCGAGCCTGCACTACCTGCAGTGTCACTCTCTCACTCTCTCTCTCTTGAAAACATTTGACCTCAAGAGAATATCATATTTTTCCGTTAGCATTTTAAAGTTCAAAAGAGAACAAGATCAAACAATAGCAGACAATAAAACAAGTAGAATAATAATAACAGCAATAATCAATAAAATCAATTGTCTAAAACAATTTAAACATTTTTTTAAATACAAAATGCATTTAAATGTTAAACAAATTAAAAATGTTTAAACACAAATAACAAATAATCTCCCTTTATAGCGTCCAATTTTAGCCTGTTCCGATGGACCTTTTAAGACGTTTTTATACCGTTACATACCAACATTGGAAATGAAATATTGGCCGACATTTTGGTGTTTTGAAAGTCGTGCCCAAACTGTATTTGCCAGTATTATTAGATCTCAAATATTACCAAATATTAACTATCGAAGGTGGGCATGACAAACTCACAAAAATTGAATTGACAATGAAAATGATACATTAATATCCCCATTCTTCTTACAGAGAAATTTTAAGGCTGACCGATGGCGGCGAAGTAGCATTAGATTGGATGGAAGATGGCTGCGCCGATGACAGTCCATGTGTTATTATATTGCCTGGTTTAACAGGCGAATCTCAAGCCGAATATATTAAGTGTTTAGTTTTAGCCGCAAATCAAGTTAGTTTACGTGTTGTCGTGTTTAATAATCGTGGCCTAGGAGGCATTGAGCTGAAAACTCCACGTCTGTATTGTGCCTCAAATTGTGAAGATTTGTCAGAGGTGGTGCGGCATGTGGGCAAAAATGTACCCAAAGATAAGTTGGGTGCTACGGGTATATCTATGGGTGGTTTGATATTGGGTAAGTTAGAATTGAATATGTAATAAATGACAGATAATACAAATGTGTTTATTTTCAGGTAATTATCTGGTACGCAAAAGTGAGGAAGCTCGTACATATTTGGGTGCAGCAAATATAATATCAGTGCCTTGGGATGTTCACAAGGGTATGTTATGAAAGACAATTTATTTTCTAGTTAAAGGGTGCATCGCGCCATTCGAAAATTCTAATATGCAAGTAGGAATTTTCCCAAAAAAATATCGAATAGTCGAAATCGTGCATGACGACACCGATTTGGTATCAACAAATTCCCAAAAAAAAGTTGTGCCTTTATAGCGAATAATTTTGCCTGTCCATTGAACGTCGTTATAAACGATTTCGACAGTATCTATAATCATTAACCCAAGGAGGAGGTCATGAATCCCCTAGATTATACTTATTCTTCTTTTTTTTCCACCAGGTCCTTATTTTGATTTAATTTTTTGTTCTAATTTCAGGAACAAAAAGCATAGAAAAGCCCATATTAAATAATCTGCTCGGACGGCATTTGACAAATAGCCTTTGTAATACATTGAAAAGCTGTGAAATTTTCAAAATGTGCGATGACATAGATATGGATAAAATTTTAATGGTTTGTATTTGTAGTTAAACTAAATTTTTTTGTTTCGGATTTAATCTTCATCCTTTTTTAGTGTAAAACCATCAAGGAATTCGATGCCTTATTTACATCCAAACAATTTGGTTATGCCCATGTTGATGATTATTATACAGACGCAACGCTGCACGATAAATTACACAAAATTACGGTGCCTACCTTGTGCCTCAGTGCAGCCGATGATCCATTCCAACCGCTTGACGCCATACCCATTAAGGCTGCCGAAGAATGTTCACATGTTGCAATTGTTATTACGGCCCGAGGCGGTCACATTGGTTTTCTTGAGGGCTGGTGGCCATCGGTTAAGGAACAATTTATGAGTCGTTTATTTGCGGAATTTTTCTCAAAAGCTTTATGCGACAAACGTCAGGAATTTCAAAATGTCACCGAAGATATGTATGAAAATTATAAAGTAGGCAAAGAGTTGTGGCCAAAGGATAAAGATGCAGATGAAGTGGCCACATTACCAGTGGTTGCGGGTGATAAGCAAGAACAAAAAATGGCCATGAAATTGTCTTCGTCGTTTTTGAACAGTGAACAGCTGGAAGAGTTGATGAAGAAAGATATTTAGTTTTAAAATGAGGCAAAGCTACTTCGGCTTTTTTCTTCTTTTTTGTTGACATATTTAATTTGTTAGTGCTTTAAAAAATAACGAATATTAGAATAATAATAAACACAGTAGACGAAGTTCTAAAAATTATTGTAATTAGTAACCAAGAATCAAAACAAAAAAATTATACCAAACAATGCAATACACATTTCACTGCAACATCGAAGACATGACAAGAAAAAATATTGTTCCTTTTAAATCTGTTTTATTCCATGCTTGAATTTTTTTTAACATACACACACATCTATTTGTAGTTATAGTCTTAATAGCATTCAATAGTAATATTGGCATATCCATTATCTTGTTCTAATACAATAATTAATAATAAAAACAAAACCTATTGCCATAAGCTAAGATGAAAAAACAAACACTAGCCTATCATGGTTTTAATTATATATATTTGTTAGTATACTCTAATGAAACACATTCCAATATCAATTATTTTTGTCAATTACTATGGGATCTGACTTGATTTCATCCCGTCCACTAGTCTAATGTCTTTTAGGCATAGTTAATCTATAAACAGTTTTTAAAAATATTAATTTGAATTAAAGATTGCTTTTTTTGTAATTTATTTAAAATGTTGCGAATTCAAACTACTGACACTTATTCTGAATTTTGTAAAGGATTTATCCTGGGTTCAACAATTACCAAAATGACCCAACAAATATATTTTTTTATTTAAGTGCCCAAATTGTAATTGATTGTCTAGAGTTATCTATAATATTTGGGGATTTGTTCTGTTCGTTGACTTATAGTGAAATTCGACGAAGAATATTTTCTTCATTAACTGTTCTATCCCAAAATTAAGTTCTCAGGGAGAATTTAACTCAAACTTAGAAAAGGTACAAAATGACTAAAAAAATGTGTTTATATTTAAATGTCTACATTGTAACTGATTTTTTAGAGGCATCGGTAATATCTAGGTATATTATTTACCCGGTAACCTATAGCGAAATTTGATGTAGAATATTTTCTTCATTAACAGTACCATCCTAAAATTAAGTTCTCAGTGAGAATTTCACTCAAACTTACAAAAGATGCCAAATAAACCAAAAACGCCTCTCTTTACATTTAATTCAGTTTGTGACAGTATTTTCATAGATTTCTATATCTGCCGATTTCCTTTGTTTGCAGGTTGTTTTTGAAATTTTATGTAGAATAATTTCTTCCTTTCATCACTACCATAAAATAATTTTTTAAGGCGAATTTGGCCCAAAACTTAGAAAATACAAAATGACCCAATATGTATATCTTCAAATTTTTAAGGGCCTCATTGTAGCAGCTATTTCATATATATCTCTAATATCTAGCGATTTGCATTGTTCGGTGACTTATGCTAAAATTCGATGTAGAATATTTTCTTCATTAACAGTTCCATTCTAAAATTAAGTTCTTAGGGAGAATTGGAATCAAATTCAAAAAAAGTTAACGAATTACCCCGGAAAAATGTGCTTATATATTTAGATGATCCCATTATAACTGGGAATTCATCTATTTCTATGACATTTTCCGAATTCACTTATTCCGAAGTTTTCATTGGTGGTTTATGTAGAATATTTACTTCCCTTATATCACTACTCTAAAATGATTTCTTCCGGAACAAAAATTCACATTAACTTCGAAATGTAAAAAACAACTCAAAGAATGTTTTTTATTAGTATACCTTAAATAAAACTTATTTTTCTAAGATTTTCTATAGTATCTACCGATTTTCTTTATACGATGACCTATTGCGAATATCGATTTAGAATATTTTTTTCATTAACACTTCTACTCTAAAATTATGTCTTCAGGAAAAATTTTGACTCCAACTCAGAAATGGTATAAAAAGACCAACAAAATGTCATATTTGAATGTCGAGGAAGTGGACCGACAGGCTGTATCTTCGGAATTGGTCACTAATGGTTAACTTTGAGTGTATCAAGGACATAAAAAATGGGTAAACTTTACTTTTATCAAGAATTTTTCTTTCTCAACTTATCCTCAAAAAGTCTTAACGAAAATTTCGAATTTAATTTAATAAAATTATTATTTAATTAAGAAATTCTGTTGGCTAGTGTGTTCAGCTAAAATTAAAAATATACGGAACTTGTTCAAGCATAAATAAAAAAACAAATAATCTTTTAACAAAACTATAAAAAATAATAACAACAAATTCCATACCTTTAGATGACAAAAACCAAAAAAAAAAAAAAAACAATCAGAAAATTTATCAAATTAGTTTTGTAGTAATTCATTTAAGCACATATCTACTATCTATTACAACAACACATAATTTGTGATCTAAAAAAGGCTTTAAACATATAAAACCAAATAAAAGATATATTAATAAATAGAAAAAAAATCCAAAACCAAAAATAAAAATAAAAAGACAACTCAGTATTTTAAACAAACGACGAAAACGAATACCAAACATTTTTTGCTAATATAAATTTGAATTTTAAAAACAAAGCAATATTAATCCAAAATCCAAAATAAAAACGAAGTTAAACATTTATATTATACAACAAATAATAAAAAATATAACAACAACAATAATAATATCAAACAAAACATAACGACAACAACAATAAATAATGTATTTAACAACAAGTTAACTATAAAAAATTAAATAAATTAGAAAATTTAAATAAATCAAATCTAAAAAAGTGGTGTTTCTTTTAAAAGCTAAAAAAAAAATATGAAACTATAAGGGTTTGATTTTAAAATGATTAATAATATTTTTTCAAATATCGACAAGGTGTGGATTTTTTAAAAACTATTATTTTCAAGTATCCACAAAACTTGATTTTTTTAATATTTTCTTTCAACTATCCACAATACGTAGATTTATTATTTTTGCAAAAATATATTTTTTATTCTGTCCCTTATTTTTCCAGAAACAGCCGTGCATAGATTTTTCCAGAATCATTCGATCTTCTGGTAGAAATTATTTTTTAAAATTTATTTTTTACAATGAAATAATTTTTATTTTTTTTAATTGTTTTTATTGTTTTATTTTTCATGTATTTTTTGTTAGGTATATATGTCGGAGTACATCGAAATTTGTTTTAAGTTAAGATAAAAACTAAATGGTTAAAAAATAAAATTATAACATTTGATGCCCATATAACGTTCATTTTTTGCACAAAATTAGCAAAATTATAATAGCATTAGCTTTTGTGTATACAACATGTAGGTTTTCTTTTCAATTTAATTTGTGTATATAAATATTAAAAAAAAATTAACATCATCTATGAATAGATATATAGATAGATAGCATAGCATAACGTAACGTAATAGGACCCCTATTAATACATCATATATTTTTAAATGGGTTTATAAAGCAGAGTGGTAACATATTTCTTGCGATAGCGGTGTGTGGCACTGAGTACCATAACACCATCCTTAATCGATAGGGCATACAAATGATTTAACATAACGTGATTTGGTTCAGGCAACAAGGTAGGCTCACACTGTAACAAAAGAGAATAAAAAATTTTATATGTTTCATTAAATCAATATCAGATAAATAATTGTATTTAAAAACATACCGACAATGGTGTATCTTTGTTCAAGATAACCTGTAATAGATGTGGCGGCAATATTGGTGGACCCGACACCTTTTCCCAAGGCTTAGTTTGTGGCACATCTTGTGAATACTCTTTGTCGGCATTATTAACGGCATTCTCACTATCTTTGGCTAATGCTTGAAATACTTCAAAATCCGATTGGCGAACGGAGACTAAATTTGTTGTTTCGCCAGAATCATTTTCTACGCTTTTCTGAAAATATAAAAAATAAAATATATAGTTTGGTCTTTTCTAACAATATTATTCCCATTGACACGAAGATTTTCACAGCGTACAGAATTGACTATAGAATGAGTTTCGTTGAAATCGGTTCAGATTTTAAAGTAGTTCCCATATACGTTTTCATGCTTGCTCATGCTTTTTTTAATGATATCTTCGATTGGATCTTGATACGATTTGCTTTTCCTTCTATTATTCCGTTCGATTTAGTTGTTGTTTAAATTTGTAATCAAATGCCCAAACAACAACATGATAATTGATTATTGCACAACAACTATGCATGTCATAAACAATAGACGACATATATAGGTATGTAAGTACATATATATATATACAAACATATTTACGTCGTATTTGCTTGCCAGCAAATTGTTATTCTATTGTTATTGATTTTTTAATTCACATGTTATTGTTCTTGTTGTTTTTGCTTCGAAAATGCGTCACCTCTCTCCCCAAAATGTAAACAAACCGAAAAACACTTACCAATTTTGGATCATGTTTCCATTCACCATCCACATAGAATTTGTAATGATGATCTCCTTCGGGCAAATCAATAATTGTCACAAAATTGCCATGACTTCGCACCATCGGTATTGGTTTCCATTTGGTAAAGGTACCACAAATCATTACATTGTGACCGCCACCATCCCAGCGCAATACCGTTGGAATAAACGATGGATTCTTGTCATCCTCTTGTGACTCCATATTTTCACCTGTACCAGCGTCTTTATCCTTTACGTCGTCTTTGGCATTTGCCATCGCTTCGTGTGAACTCACTTCCTTTGTGTCCTCTGTTGTGCTGTCAGAGCGTTTGCGCGTTTCAGCTGAGCTTAATTCAGAGGAGGGGTCGCCGGAATTGGCGGACGGTTCGTTCGAGGCTTTGCCAATTTTCGTATAGTATGGTTCGGATGTTGTTTCGTCGTCTTCTTGCGACGAGCCACCTGCCAATACTGAATCACGTTTTTTATCGAACGTGAATGCCTGACCACCACTTACAGCGGCGATGCCACCACCTCCTCCAACACCGCCACTGCTACCACCAACACCATCACCTCGTTGAGGTAGTTCTCTGAAAGGCGAGTTTGGCGTTGAGATGTCACTCGACTTGTGGCGCTCCCTGTGCATACTTGAACTTCCTGCATTGCCCATTATGCTTTGTTCTGTGTTTGCAAATAAAGAAAAACAACACAACAAAAATCAAAGAAGAAAAAAGTGGATTCCTTATTTCTTATTGGCAAAAATCATTTGTGGACGTATGTTGGCGTTCTTTGGCACTTCTTTTACTATGGCAGCTACACTTATTTTGCACACAATTCCAGTTGCAGATATTAGTTTATTTTTCTTTGTTTTTTATTGGATTTTTACAAAATTTTATAAAAAATTATTATTGTCGTTTTATAATGGACTCTTTTTCAATGTCATAGGAATTTTTGGTCTATCTTTTGGGGTTTTTCTCTCTCCCTCTTTGTGATTGTAATTATTGAACTGTCGATTATTGGAGTTATCGATGTGCAAAAAAAAAACATAGCAATCGATATCAAAATAAATGCAAATAGCTTATTTATACGGGGATTTCTATACGGATTAACTTGAGGTGAATAACAAAAAAGCAAGTATGTAGGTAGTATGGCTGCCTGTGTCTGTCAAATATAAGATAAATATACGCAACAAGTGGTCTGTTCCCGTACTGCAAGAATTTATTAGATTTTACTATTTTCTTCGATATCATAAAGGAAAATTCGTTATCGTAGTAAAAAATAGTAGAATCTTGCAGTACGGAATAGACCAAAATTCATTTGTAAATTTACATTTCTACACCAGCTACGCGACGTATCTCCTTTTAAATATAATAGCATTATGTGTCGCCATTTGTAGGGTTCTGAGGTCATAACTTTTCCTCCAAAACAGATAAGGTGAGGGTAGAATGTTCAAAAGAATCCGCGAACTGTCCTTAACGGTATGTAAATTACAACTTTTTTCGGGCTAATCTATTCTATGGGAATTTATCAGAAATACGCACTGTAATTGACAATTTAAATCCACAAGATTCACTAAATCCAATACAATGTAAATGCAATATTAAGCCCATATATAAATAATAACAAAAACATTATTTACATTTACATTAAAACGTTTTGCGGTGTTAACCTACTTAATGGGTTTTTTTATACAATGAAATTGAAAGTTTAAACACACTGGGTTAACGAAATCCGCTACAATGTAAACATACTATTCAATTTTAAACTTTTCCACCTCAAATATACCAATTTGTTTCCCAACTTTACAATTTTATTCAAATAAATTACCCCCAATTTAAAAGGTCAAATAAAACACACGTAAACAACTGATCGTTGAACGTCAGCACGCAATAACAACGCCGTCACACGTATGGCTCAGTTGTCTGACTGCAGCTCCTGTTTGGGTGTATGTATTGTAAACAATACTACGGTTCTCTTATAGTCTCCATCCCAGATCATTCGTAATATTTTCGACCTTAGAAAGACAAGTACTAATCTTTGTTTTGATTCTGGCTTTATCAGTTACGTTTTAAAGCTATTTCGTCCAATTCCACGCCGTCCAAATTTTACTAACGGCATTGTAATTAAAAGAAACATTTCATTCGAAAGCAATTTCATGAAATTTGAGTTAATTTTATTCAAATATACATACCTAATTATTTAATTTTTGTTTACTACAAAAATGCCTTTAACTGCAGAGAATGCAGCACAACAAATACAGGTGAAATAGAATGTGATTTTCTTTTCGATTAAATGCCATTTCAATTGCGATGTTTGTTTTCCCCCCAGGAACGTCTCAAGGATATACAACGTTTGATCCATCAAATTGACGATGAACGAAGGCGATCGGAAACAAATATCAATGGCTTGACAAGGGCTCAACAGAGCCAAATGCCGGTACAAAAGATGAAGAGTCTGTACAAGACCTGTTTGCAAGATGCTGCCGTTGAGGAGGACACAATTCGCAAGGCGCTAGAGAAAATACATGAAATTCGCAACATACGCAATGAACGTCGCATTCAGGCCCGCAATGCTGGCAATAAGGAGGCTATACGCAGGGGAGCTCTTATGAAAATGGTACAAATATCAGCACAGACGCTACCGCTATTTGTTAGTAAACCTGGAGAAAAGGTACCACCACTGTGTGGTGCCATACCAGCTGAAAGTAATTATATAGCCAAGGTGGGAGATAATGTTGCAGCTTTGGTTAAAGGTGTGGAAGAGGAAGAAAATTGGATATTGGCAGAGGTGGTTAGTTTTTTGCATCGTCAAAATAAATACGATGTCATCGATATTGATGAAGAACAAAAGGATCGACATGTTTTGAGTAAACGGAAGGTAATACCATTGCCACTGATGCGGGCAAATCCGGAGACAGATGGTCATGCCCTATTTCCCAAGGATACTGTGGGTAGGTGTCAATAACATTTTGCTTAACAATCTAGCAGAATTAAACAATTTAATTTTCCTTGTTGTCCCCATAGTTATGGCCCTGTACCCCCAAACAACGTGCTTCTATAAGGCCATTATCCACAGGCTACCACAAACTGCCACCGAAGATTACGAGGTATTATTTGAAGACTCCTCCTACTCAAATGGCTACGCCGAACCATTGCCCGTGGCTCAACGTTATGTCATTGTTTACAAATCCACCAAAAAGAGTGGCAGTAGTGGAGGTGGTGGCAGCGGCAGTGTTTCATCCTCAGCATAAACCCAACACACACACAATCCATTATTTTATATAAATTTAATTTTAATGAAAAAAATAAAACTTATTCTATATTTTCAACTTAACTATGTGTGTACTACATAAATACATATGTATTCTCTTCTAATCCTCATCATCTTCATCTGACTCTTCATCATCATCCTGTTCCATGGCTTCATCATCTTCGTCGTCTTCAACCTCCTCACCTTGGCCACTGTCGGCCTTATCTTCTTCATCGTCGTTGATATCATCGGGTACATGTAATTCAAAACCATCCGCCTTGGTCCAGGAACATTTCATTGTCAAACGGAACTTAGCCATTGGTTTGGCAATCAATTTGAGAATTCTGGCTTGTTCTGGTGTCAAAACTTTTCCCTCCTCGCAAACGGTATAGTCTGAATAGAGCGTGACAACACCCTTTTGCAGTTTTGTTGGCAAACCCAGAGATCTCAGATGTGGTTCCATGGAATGTGAAAATTCTTCTAAAGGTCCCTCGGGTAACACCACCGTTTCTGTTGCCTTGAAGCCACTGCGTGCATATTCCACAGCCCAATAGTTTTCCGCCCATTCCAAAACCTCCTTTTTACTTTTCTCCGTAAACAATAGACCCACTTGGCCTGTCAGACGGCGGGACAGTTTGCTCAAATCTGTTTCAACCTCCTCGGCTTTTGTGCGACCCAAACCGATTTGCATAATGCGATTTTTACCAAAAATGAAACGGGAGTTCTGTTTCCATTCCTGTCGCAGATCCTTTAGCAAATTGTTGCGCATATTTTGCACTTGAAATACAAAAATATTTGGATATTTCTCCACACATCTTCGGATGTCATCAATAATTTGTTGCTTCCAAGCGAGACCTTTACGATCGGTTTTGGTAAGGGAAACTGAAAAAAACGGGGGAGTTAATGCTGCATTTTACGATCCAAACAAGCGAATTGGACTTACTTTTCTTATCTCTTTTGGATCTGGGCATTTTATTTTATAGATTATTTAGAAAAAATACTAAATTGAATTTCTTTTAAATGTGTGAAACTAAGCCGTATTGAAACACGTGCAGCAACAAAACAAGAATAAGAGTAAATACAACGAGAGTGAGATATTAGGGATGATAGATCGACTATCGATTTTTTTTTGTATTTATTAATCGATGTCGTTCTAATCAAGGCTCATTTAAAAGGTTAACCAGAAAGTAAACCTCATCGGCCATTCTGATTGATATAGCCCATGCTAAAATTATTATAAAATAGCGCTGATTATAGCTGATTAAAATTTGTTCTCAAAAATATAATTTTCGAAGGTTAAAACAAGGCGTGGATTTAAAAAAATATTCGAGGTCCCTTATAATGGATTGATTAAAAAAAAAATCGCAGACCAAAACAAGGCGTGGATTTAAAAAAAAAAAAAAAAAAAAAAAAAAAAAACATTTTGATGGGGCCCATACAAAGCGTAAATTTCTAAAAAAAACATTTTGATGGGCCCATACAAAAAAATAAAAAACCTGAATTTCTAAAAAAATGTTTTTCTGAGAACAACAAAAGGAATTCTAAATTTTTTTTTTGCGGCTATTGCTTTAAAGAAACAAAAATATATTTTTCAAGGACCAGAATATGGCGGGTATTAAAAAAATAATTTTATGGGACCAAAACATGGCGTAGAACAAAAAAGGCATGTATTCAAAAATAATCGATGTCAACACAAATCGTAGCTTTCAAAACTAGAGTTCCGTTCCAGAACTTAAAAGATTCTACTCATTTTACATGTTTTGCAACTTTTTACTCGAAACCCGATCCTCAACCCACAAAACTTTTTACTCGAGAAATTTGGTTGAGTAAAAATGGTATACAGGAATGCCTACTTCTGATTGGCTGTTATGTTGATTTTGAAGTATTGCCAACTAATTTTGGCATATTTACTATATTTGCTTTCCCGAACTTTTCAAAGAAAAAAAAGTACTGGAACAGACCAAATAATAATTAAAATGCATATTGTGTGTGTTTATTATATAATAGTATTAACACTAACTGGTACTTGTTTATATTCCTAATTGAGCTTTTGTGTAATAAATTCCCTTTATCATTTCCTCTATTTGTGTGTGTTTTTTTCTCGAATAATTGCAACTTCTTGCATTCTTTTATATTTATTCTTTTCATGTGTGCCAACAAATTCATCTGCATCAATGGACCGTGTAACATGACCTTAATGTAGCAGTGACATTTAACTTTCGATAGTGTGTGTGTAATAACGGCCACGTGTTTCCCATACAAATAATAAAACGCTCACTCTACAGTACCCTTAACAGAATAACCGTAACACGAAGCTTCTAGAACCCACAAATCATTCGGTTTTTAAGCAATTACTCGGTAATCACAAACCCCACAACAGCATTTTTTGTAGATATGGTAACACTTAACGTCATCCAGCCAGCCGAAGAAGGAATATTTATGAAAAAACTGAAAACTGTGTGTGGTGGTGAAGTGAGACTCGAGAAAATACAAGATTTTACTGCTAAATAAATTAAATCACAAACTAATTGTTAATATGTTGTCAATTTATACGTAAACGGAAGGATAAAAAGACGCCAAAGAGGAGTTACAAGTGCACCGAAAAGAAAAAAGAAAATTGTTGCAATTTTATACACAAAGCAAGGAGAACAGACGGAAAACAAAAGAATTGACTGGCTATAACAACAACAGCAACAACGAAGAAGACAAATACCGACCAGGAGGAGAGGACGAAATCTAAAGAAATTCAGTCGCCTTTTCTTCGTTCGGCTCGCTGTTTGAGCAGGAGATTTGTGTAATTAAATCATTTTAGTTTTTTGTCATTTTCATTTTCGTTGTTATTTTGTTGTAGTGTACTGTGTCGTCGGTTCGGTTGGTTAGTTAGTTGGTGTTATATTGACGCTATATAGCTGATATATATTTTTGTGTATTGTGTTGGACTGGTTGTCGTCGTCGTTTTCGTTTGCTTCTGTCATGATGTATAGTAGCTACTAAAAAGCTACTTCTGTCCGTCCGTCCGTGTGTTTGTTCTCTCTCACAAAAAACGAACTCGGCTCTTACAGAAAGAAGCAGAATCATAGCAAACTTTTATAGAATATTCGTCGCCCATAGAGAAGGATGGACAGCGGCTGTATTTGCGTTCCGATTTTTTTGTTGAAACGAATATCCGAAACAATATTGAATGCATTCCCTTGCATTTGGAATAGTCATTAAAAAAATATAACGTGTGTGATTTTTTTTAAATTTTCCTATCCTTCCTATCCCCTGAAAAAAAGTTAATCGTCTACAACAATAAATTTTCTGTTCCCCCATTTTTAGGCAACAAAAATGCAAAGTCAGCAATCGCCAAATCCAAATTCGCAGCAATTGCAGCCAGCACAACAGCAACAACAAACACAACAACAGGCATCAGCGGCGGCGGCGGTACTGATGCAGCAGCAACAGACACAATTACTACAAAATCAAGGCAATACAGTGGGCAAGATCAATGACACTCCGCCAAATTTATCCACTGTGGGTAAGTAAATTTGATTTATTTAATTTTCTTCAACCCTCCGGGATCCAGGGGGAAGCCCTTTAAAGAAATTAGTAATAATATTTATTTAATTATAATAGGCTCGAGGTGGACAGGAAGGAGATTTTGTTTTCGGCATAGGAAAGTTTTTTGGGAAACATCGTTTTTGCTGTGCTTGGTTAGAAGTAGTGAGTGAGTGGTGGAGAGCTTCAATGGATGGTGGTGGTGGTGGAAAAATAGAATGTTCGGAACATTACCTGTCTCCTTTCACATTATTATTTTGCTTTATTATTGGCATAGGATGCGAGGGTAGAAGGACGGTAGCCACAGTCATCCATCCATTGTATATGTGTATATTGCAAGTGATTACGCGCTTGACTGATATGATGAGATGTACAGACCATGTAGGAAATGACGATAGTAAATCACAAGTGACTTACTGTTGACATTGTCACCAGTACTACTGACCGACTGTAAACATCACAATACTATTGACACTTACAAAAGTACTTGTCATTTCGAGAGAATTAATGACATCCGGTAGTAAGTCAATATTTTGTATATATAGACACAACGTCACATATGTGGACCATGTCACTAGTAAATATTTTCTAGTTTCATTTGTTCATATTTTTTCCAAAATTTTCTTCCAATTAACTAATTTAATTCTCCAATTATCTTTAAACACATTTAGCTCTCTTTTTTAATCGATTTAACATATCTACTGCCGCCAAAATTATTTGCAATAACAGAAAATTATATAAACAAGAAGAAGCATAACCATCTAACCAAGCTCAGCTGACTGTTAACATAAACAATGCTTCTTCTTATTATTATGGTATGTAAAGAAATTGTTAAATATATGTAGAAAAGTTGCCATATATTCATGTCATAAAAGCAATACAACACCCCACATTTCCTTTAGGGATCAGTCAAGCGCGTAATTACCTCTCTGAATGAAATTTGGGGTGCTGTATATCATATTTTGTCGACAATTATGGCGACCTGTCTTGATTTGTTTTCAACAACTTCTCTTCTGGTTATGTTAACAGTCATCTGAGTATGGTTATGCTTCTTCTTATTTTTCTCAATTTTCTTTTATTACGAGTAATTTTGACGGCAGTGTAGATTGACATTTTGTTAAAAACGATTACAAAACGCGAGTGTTAAGTGGCTAAAGGCAAGTGGAGAATTAAGTTAATTAATTGGCGAAGAAAAAAAAAACATGAGCAAAATAAATTATAATAGATTTACTAGTGACATGGTCTGCAGTTATAACTTTGTGTATGTACATCTACAAACTGACAATATCTCCAGTTCATTCTCAATGACATTGTGTTGGGTATAGTCGCTCAATAGGAAGTCAGTAGTGATTTACTATCGGCATTTCCTACAGGGTATTTGGTAGCTATGTTTATATGTGTGCATAAAAAAACTATGTGTATGAGTGTGTTTGCGCCCCAGAGTATTGAACGTGCGAGTGAGCAAAAAGCATGTGCTGCCCTGCCTGCTACTACTCTGCTTATATTTGCGTATAGAAATTAAGAAAACACACACAGAAAACAAAACAAAAAACGAAATGAAAAGAAAAGAAAAAGAGTTGTCATAATTTTGTTTTGAATGCTGCTGTTCCTCTATATAGGAGATAATAAAAAATATATATTCATTATGTATATATTCAATTTATAGGATATAGGTTTATATATACATTTATCAAACAAAATTTATACTTTCCTTAAAATACAGTTTTTGTTGTTGTTTTTTTTTTTCTTTATTTTCCAAAAACTATTTTAATGATGCAACAATATTTGAATATTAAATTAAATGAATATTCCAGGTATCATAAATCGGCATTATTATTATTCTTGTTCGATTTACACAAAATTTTGTTGAATTAAGTCTATCTAGAATTATGTGTGTTAAGTTTCGTTAAAATCGATTAAGATTTTGATAAAGCTTCCATATTAATTTTCGATCGATTTTAAAAAAATTGTACACAAAACACACCATGTTTGGACGATTAACACAAAATTGTGCAAAACGTACCGTAATGAATTCAGATTAACATATAGCTCACATTTTCGTCCGATTTTAGGTAACCAGAAGATGGTCCAACCTCCTTTTTATGTATTTTGTTAATGGTCCTATTCGCATTTTCCAACCGAAGTGACTATATATATGTTTCTATATAGCACTAACTATCCAACCATTGTGCCTATAGTTGCGAATTTTGTTTTCTCCTGATAGCAATTTACCATGACATAGTTTCTATATAATAATCCCGATAGTTTTTATCTCAATGTCCATAACAATTTCGATTTCGACACTGCTGTGGGCCACATTAACATTATTTCATACATACGAACAAAATGTGTTGTAAATATTTGAATTAAGTTTATTCTATTGTAAATGGAATACTATTGTTTCAATTGTATCACGTGATAGATGATAGATAAGGTCACTTCGATGTGGTCTCAACACTATTGAAATCTAAGCATATTTATGATGGGGAAATGTCATGCCACTTAGCGATAATAAAATTACACTTTGCACTTATATACCGATTTTATTCTCTTTAGATGGAGTAATACATATTTTATTTACGTAGGAAAAATTTAACTAAAATAATTTGCAATTTGTTACAATTACCAACTTTTGTCGTCCAAGCAGTTATGCTCGGAGAGGACACTTGCACTTATTTTGCAGTTACTGCCTTCCATTATATTTATGGCATATTCAATTTTATTTTGAAATAAAGAAGTTATCAAATTTAATAGTAGTTGCAATTGATAATACTAAACCATATTTTCTTTTGTATTGCTTAATTTAGTTTCTTTGATAAAGATAGCCAAGCTGGCAGTTTATATTAGCGGTCAAATCCTCCAACCATATATACATAGTATATATGAATGTAATCTAATTGAATTTTGTAAAAAAAGTATTATTGATAATTTCATTAAAAATACCCGCCGCGCGTCTCCCTTCCAAACAACCTAAAAAACAATCCGAATTAAAGTCAGTCAACAATTTCTTTATCACGAAATGATGGCAACACCGTTTTAATGCGTTTGTATTTGGAGCTTCTCTTTCGTTGTGTGTTTTTTATGTCGTCGTTTCATGAACAACACACACCGACAATAGTGGAGATTTGGCGGCTGCTGAGTGTAAAATTTACAAAAATTTTCCGATAATAAAGGTGTGTGTGTTTGTGCACACCATCTCCTCTCCCAGTTACCCTTTTTCCGTAATAAACGCCAGTGTGTTAAAAAGCTGTTGTGTGGCATATATTATCGGCAACAGCAGCAACAACAACAATAACTAAAGGAGAACATACATACGTCAAAATTATGGCTGCCTAACTGGCTAAAGAAGAGGGAATGCCGCGGCCACCGCTCACATGTTTCATTTTATTTTCTTTCTTTTGTTTTCTTTTTTATGTTGATTGGTCGGCTGATCATTTGGCCGCTGTCAGTTACTACTAGGGAGTGCATCAAACTAGCACCTTTTCAACGGCGGCAACGACAGCAGCGCGCGGTGTGTGTCTGTTTTGTTTTAGGTGAAGACAGGTGGAACAACAAGAAACATATGAAATATAACATTGTGGTGAAGAAGAAGAAGAACAGCAATAAGTGTAATATAGAAAGAAAAAAAAAATAAAGATAAAGAAGGAGGGTTGACATTTTGTGTTGCAAAAAAAAGTGACAATCACCACCATTCATTTGGTGGAATGTTATACAAAAAAAGAATATCAAATAAAATGACAGTATTGTGTTACTTGACTCGCGCGCGCTCTCCCTTTCTCTCTCTCTCTCTCTCGCACTCGGTCTCTATTCCCATATGTTAATACGTAATGGTGGGCTAATCGCAGTAAAGCCAAACAAGAAAAGCAACAACAACAGCAAATACAGGAACAACAAATATCATCATCGTATTGTTATTTATCTGCCTGCCTTTGTATACATTTTTGTTAATTTGCAAAAATAGTGTGTGTGTGTGTGAAACAAAAATAATGACAATTTGTCGTCTCACCACTTGTCATACTCAGCAGACATTCTCTTGCCGAATTATTTCTCTACCCCTATCAAAATTAACAGCATTGCTTTTGACGACGGGTAGGGTGTTGTAACATTTCATCAAATAAACCACCTTTTTTCAACGATTAAGACGGAGAGAGAGATAGAGGGAAGACGGAGGACAGATCTTAGTAGCCCAACCAACCAAATCTATCGTGATATGTATACATTTTAAAGGGGGGAACCTACTGCTAAGTTCACCTAAATCGTCTGAATCGTAAAGTGAGTGAGTGCCTGACGTACGTCCATACATGTGCTACCCCGTGTGTATGTGTGTTTGTTTTTGTTGTTATTATTATTACCGTATGCGTGAGTGTGACAACATTGCCCTCCTTCTTACTCTAGTAGTGAGATTCGGTTCTATAAGATTTTCTGTTGCTGCTGCTGTGACGACTGCTTCTGTTTTCTTCTTGTTGTTGCTGCCGATTTTTTCCTCAATTCTTCTTTTATTTTTTTTTTGTAGAATTTCACCCTTGAAATTTTTTGTAACAAGAAGAAAACCTTGGTCAGTAGGTGGAAAATAAAATAAAAAACTATACAAACACACGCGCTAAGAAAAAGAAGTGAACATTTTTTTATAATTTTTTTTGGTGGCCCGCAAAAATATCCTTCACCTACAAAAAACAAAAATCGTGTTCCTCCTTGCCGATATATAACCTTTACTACTACTACGACAAGAACAACGCAGTGCAATTACATGAACAGTGTAAAACAACCACACAAACACAACAACATCTCCTTGCAACTAAATTGGTGGATGTCGCTTTTTGGTTATAATCAAAATCGAACATGTCGCAATTTATGTTTTTGACTAATGAATGCAATGATTCTGCGGAAGGTATGATGTGTGATATATAATTTTTTTGGAATTTTGTTTATATATAATTTTTTTGGCAAAGTAAGTGGGAATTAATTAGGAAATCAGGTTTTTTTGAGGTGAGGTCGATAAATGTTTGGTATATTCTCTGGAAGCTACGATGTTGGGAGGATGATAAAAAAAACCTGACTAGGAATCAACCAAAATTGTAAAACCTTTCTATGCAGGGTCCTCATTTATGGTACTTTAGAAGTCTTAGCCCATGATTTATGGGGAATTTTTTTTGAAATATTTTTTTCGAGATAGACCCATGGTTCCTTTTGAGAATATGCATAGAATCATTTTCTGAGCCGATTTGGATAAAATTTTGCACAGGTCACTTATTTAACCGAAGGACGAACCCCAGTGAAATTGAATAAAATCGTTTCAGATATATATATATATGTCCGATTTTAGGTAAATGGTGCACCAAACTTCCAATATTTTTCTGATTGAAACAAAATTGGGTCCTGATTGATGTATGCGAAGTTTTGTGGAAATCGGTTCAGATTTAGATATAGCTCCCATATATAGTTTCGACCGATTTTTGTTCTATCTACAGGATATTGTAAATATTAGCATCTCTTATATATTATATATCCAAAGTTGTGAAGGGTATCATATAGTCGGCCCAGTCCGACTTTTGAACTTTCCATACTGGTTTAAAATTTTTAATTAGGTACGGATTTTCTAATTTTTTTTTCAAAAACTAATAGATTTTTGAAAATATTTTTCAGCTGTTGAGTTTTTAATTTTTTGCTTTCAAATGTTCTAAATAATACTAATTGTATATTTCCTCTCTCTTTTTTTGCAGGCCTTTTGGAACTAGCACATCGCGAATACCAAGCGGTCGACTATGAAAATGCCGAAAAACATTGCATGCAACTTTGGCGACAAGATAGCACCAATACCGGTGTGCTATTACTATTATCTTCCATACATTTTCAATGTCGTCGCTTGGAGAAATCAGCACAATTTTCAACGCTGGCCATAAAGCAAAATCCTTTATTGGCTGAAGCTTATAGGTAAGTTAGTTGGATTTTTTTTGAATACCTATGACCTTTATTAAAATTTGTTTCTCTTCCTTTTTTGCAGTAACTTGGGTAATGTGTTCAAAGAACGTGGACAATTGCAGGAAGCTTTAGAAAATTATCGACGTGCTGTACGCTTAAAGCCCGACTTTATTGATGGCTATATTAATTTGGCAGCCGCTTTGGTGGCAGCACGTGAAATGGAAGCGGCCGTGCAAGCCTATATAACCGCATTACAGTACAATCCAGTAAGTTGATGTTTTTAGGAGAATGTAAATAAGATAATGGATGTTAATGGGCTTGATGATTAAGTTCAAAATTTTATTCTACACAAAGTTGGATTAAAATGTTTTTTTTTTTTTTTGTATTACAGGATTTGTACTGTGTTCGTAGTGACTTGGGAAATCTCTTAAAGGCATTGGGTCGGCTCGAAGAAGCCAAGGTAAATATTAAATGCATTTCTCTTTTCCACAACCCCCTAATTTTTCCCCTTTTATCTGTTTCTAGGCCTGCTATTTAAAAGCTATCGAAACATGTCCAAGTTTTGCTGTAGCTTGGAGTAATTTGGGCTGTGTTTTTAATGCCCAGGGAGAAATCTGGCTGGCTATACATCATTTTGAGAAGGCGGTAACATTAGATCCAAATTTCTTAGATGCCTACATTAATTTGGGTAATGTCTTGAAGGAAGCCAGAATTTTTGACAGGTATGATGATAACAAAAGTTACATATTGAAGAAGTAATAACACGGATTTTTCTTTTTCCCGCAGAGCTGTTGCCGCCTATTTACGCGCATTGAATCTTTCACCCAACAATGCCGTTGTACATGGAAATTTGGCTTGTGTCTATTACGAGCAGGGTCTCATTGACTTGGCAATCGATACCTACCGTCGGGCAATTGAATTGCAACCAAATTTCCCAGATGCTTATTGTAATTTAGCAAATGCTCTAAAGGAAAAGGGACAGGTGCGTTGAATCTTCACTTATTTGTTATATATCGGAAATCCTACAGAAGTCCTGTAATGGTACTTCTATAGAAGACTCTTCCAATGGGTTTTCAATGTATAGAATACCCTTCCAGTGAGCCTTCTATATACAAATGATCCTTTCTGTGTGCCTTCTATATATGAAAGATCCTTCCATATACAGAAGACCTTCCAATGGGCCTTCTATATACAGAATATATAGTACACCTTTTCAGTGGGACTTCCATCTATGTACAGTTCTAGTTAGACTTTATAAAATATCTTTTGGTGGTCCTCTTAGTACCTAATTGTTTTTTCGTAAACATCTTTTAACTCTCTATCTTTTTTATACCGCAAATTTTGAATTCCAGGTCAAAGAAGCCGAAGAATGCTACAACACCGCTCTGCGGCTATGTCCCAATCATGCCGATTCTCTTAACAATTTAGCAAATATTAAACGTGAGCAAGGATTTATTGAAGAAGCAACCCGCTTGTATCTAAAAGCTTTAGAAGTATTTCCCGATTTTGCTGCTGCTCATTCGAATTTAGCCTCTGTGCTACAACAACAGGGAAAACTAAAAGAAGCCCTTATGCATTATAAAGAAGCCATACGAATTAATCCAACATTCGCCGATGCCTATTCGAATATGGGTAACACCCTGAAGGAGCTGCAGGATGTCACGGGGGCATTGCAGTGTTATTCACGGGCCATTCAAATTAATCCAGCCTTTGCTGATGCACACAGTAATTTGGCCAGCATCCATAAGGATTCGGGCAATATACCCGAAGCCATACAATCGTATCGTACAGCATTAAAATTGAAACCCGATTTCCCCGATGCCTATTGTAATTTGGCGCATTGTCTACAAATCGTTTGCGATTGGACCGATTATGAGGCTCGCATGAAGAAATTGGTTAGCATTGTGGCCGAACAATTGGAAAAGAATCGTTTGCCCTCAGTGCATCCACATCATTCAATGCTGTATCCCTTGTCGCATGATTTCCGCAAAGCAATTGCAGCCCGACATGCGAATTTGTGCATTGAAAAGATACTGGTGCTGCACAAGCCCCCCTACAAATTCACGCGGGAGGTGCCGAACGGTGAACGCATACGCATCGGCTATGTAAGCTCAGATTTTGGCAATCATCCCACCTCCCATCTAATGCAATCGATACCGGGTCTGCACGATCGTTCGCAAGTGGAAATCTTCTGCTATTCTCTGAGTCCCGACGATGGCACAACGTTCCGTTACAAGATCTCACAGGAGGCTGAACATTTCGTTGACCTGTCCACAATTCCATGTAATGGCAAGGCGGCAGATCGTATCTATAATGATGGCATCCATATATTGGTCAATATGAACGGCTATACCAAGGGGGCTAGAAATGAAATTTTTGCTCTACGGCCGGCTCCCATACAAGTCATGTGGCTGGGTTATCCCGGCACCAGCGGAGCCTCATTTATGGATTATATTATTACAGATTCGGTGACGAGTCCCATGGAATTGGCGCATCAGTACAGTGAGAAATTGGCCTATATGCCTTACACCTACTTCATTGGCGATCACAAGCAAATGTTCCCGCATCTTAAGGAACGTCTTATTGTGGCCGACAAACAGCAATCCGTTGTGGCCGACAATGTGGCGGTGATCAATGCCACAGATCTATCGCCATTGGTTGAGAATACCGGTGTGAAGGAGATTCGCGAGGTGATCAATTCCGGCAAACCAATGGAGATAACACACAAGGTGGCTGAGCTGCCGAATACAACACAAATTGTGTCGATGATTGCTTCGGGCCAAATACAGACGTCACTTAACGGTGTGGTATTGCAGAATGGCTTGGCCACAACGCAAACAAACAATAAGGCAGCAACGGGCGAGGAGGTGCCTCAGAGCATTGTCATAACAACACGAAGGCAATATAATTTACCCGACGACGCCATTGTCTATTGTAATTTCAATCAATTGTATAAAATTGATCCTCTGACGCTGCAGACGTGGATGAACATTTTGAAGGCAGTGCCGAATTCGGTATTGTGGTTGTTACGTTTCCCGGCGGTGGGTGAGCAGAATATTAAGAAAACTGTTGAAGAGATGGGTAGGTGTTTGCTTGGAGATTCCTTTGTGTTTTGTTACAGATAATAAAAATGTTATTTATTTAGGTGTTTCACCGGACCGTGTCATCTTTTCAAATGTGGCCTGCAAGGAGGAACATGTCCGTCGTGGCCAGTTGGCTGATGTCTGTCTTGACACCCCATTGTGTAATGGTCACACAACATCTATGGACGTTTTATGGACTGGTACACCAGTGGTAACATTGCCGGGTGAAACATTGGCCTCAAGGTAAGAGAGAGAGAGAGAGAGAGAGATGGAAAAACTGTAGATATTCTTTAGAATCTATATAAAAGAGCGAGAGAGAAGACATTCGATTATTAATGACAGGCGGAGGGGACATTTTAGGGTCTTTGAAAAGAAAACTAAATTCGATAAGGCTTCTATAAGTAGCTCTTGCCTTCCAGAGAGAGATATAGTCTTCAATTTACAGAATATCCTTACAGAGAATCTTCTGAGAAACCAAATTATCAAATTAGAGTTAAATCCGTTAAAAACGTTCCAAAAATTCCTAAAATACCGAAATTTGGGAGGTACCCTTATATAGGGACTAACCTCAAAAGTGAACCGATATTAATTTTGGTAGGATGACTTGCTACCTAACGAAAACCAATTATACCAAATTACAGCTAATTTTGAAGATCGTTTTTCAAAACCTCAAAATACCGAATATTTGAGGGCACCCTTATATGGGGACTATGCCAAAATGTGGACCAGATTTAAAAAAAGGGTTCCAGCTCGAAATTTGAGAGTTACCGTTGACCAAGATTAGCCCACTGAGAACCCAAAATACCTGAAATTTGGTATTTTCGGTTGAAAAACTACACAAATTAGACACATTTACGAAGTACCGTTACATTGTGGTTACCCTTGAAAGTCGACCAATATGGTTAATTTTTGATAGGGAGATTTAACATCCACTGAGAATCCAAAATACCAATTAAAAGCTAATTCGTTTGAAAAAGATCGAAAAAAACTCCAAAAAAATCGAAATTTTCGACGTTGTCAGTGGGTGGCAACTCTAAAAAGTCGACCAATATTCATCATTTTCGGTAAGATGATTTGAATTTTCGACGTAGTTTGTATACCCTCGATTAATGTTTTGAAGAAATGTTCGCTCTTAATGTTATATGGGGAAGCTAGTCTTGGCCCTTCTTTATATAGATGAGAAACCCCCTGACAGCTCTCCTATACGTTTTTTTGCTTTCCAAACTCTTAATAATTTCCTTTTTTGTTTTATTTTTACAGAGTGGCTGCCTCACAATTGGCTACCTTGGGCTGTCCCGAATTAATTGCCAGTACCCGCCAAGAATATCAAGAAATTTCCATACGTCTGGGCACGGATCGTGAATATTTGAAATCGTTGCGCGCCAAAGTGTGGAAGGCTCGCGATGAGAGTCCTCTGTTCGATTGTAAACAATATGCACAGGGTTTGGAAATGTTATTCATGCAAATGTGGAAACGTTTCCTGAGGAGTGAGCCGCCAGATCATATTTCTGCCATAGAAAATAAATAAATCTTTATTTAGTAGACACGCATACATACAGCAAGGACCATCATCATCGCCAGCATCATAATTTTTTTTCATATATATACTGCATATATTAATAATTGTTAGAAAAATGGAAGAATAACATTGATCATCCATCCACACATCATCATCATCATCATAACCATTCCCCCATTTTCCACCCCACCACACATGAAAAAATGCATCACTTAACCCAACTATTGGTATGAGAAAAAAAGCAAACAAGGCTCTAAAAATTAATGCTCGAAGAAGAAGTAATGATGGACATACAAAAAAGGTAACGATAATTAACATGTTGATTACCTTCTCCCGTCATCCCTCCAACACACAACACAACACATACCATACCAAATCAATCAACCACTCATCCATCCCTCCATGTAGATTGCTATTCTCCTCCTCACTGTAATCAAGAAAAGAATGAAAAATAGTAATATGATTAGATTGGAACAGAAAAAATAGCAGCAACAGCAAATGAAAATTTAATTTATTTAAAACAACAAATAAGATGAATATAGTTTTAAAAAAGAAAGCAACAACAACAAGAACAAATACCAACCTCTTCATTTGAATGAATTATATGGCAAAACAGAAAGGAAAACTAATGAAGAAGACGCGGTGCGATTTTTATTATTTTAATTCGAGAGTGTGGTAACTTTAGTTAAAATATTATCGAGTAGAAGAAGACAAAACTACAACAACAAGAAATATGAAGAAATTTCAAATAATTATAGAAAAACAAAACAAAAAACCTACTGTTGACTAGGGTAATATTTTTGGCTAATTTATTAATTTAGTCAAATTGCATTGCTCTATTGTATTTATAGAAAAAACAAACGTGTTATAAATATTTAATTATGATAATCTTAAAGAAAAAACAAACTACATAAAGAAAAAACAAAACAAACAAAAATAAAAACAAAAAACTGAAATTGTTTTTGAAGATTCCTCAATGATTTATTTATTCTCCAACTCTGCTCCTAGCCCCTGCTTTGGCATAGAAAGGCATTAAAAAAATCAATACAGTGTCAGGCAGTGTGTCTTATATTCTTAAAAGAGAAAAACAACAAACATTTTATTAAAACAAAAAACACTGAAAAGACCCTTTACAACACACCTCCCATTATTCATTATTTTGGAAATTTTAGGCAAAATTTTCAACTATACTGGCTGCAATTTGTAATTATCAATATTGGTCCACTTTTTAGTTTAGACCCCATATAATTTTACCTTAAATATCTGGTATTTTATGCACTATTTTCAACCGAATTTGCTGTAATTTTGAATTTTGGATTCTGAGTTGGTGTCAAATCCTTCTATCAAAAATTATCTATATCGATACGTATTTTGGTATAGTCCCCACATATTCGGTATTTTTCAATATTCGGTATTTTAAGCACGTTTATTCAATCGAATTAATAGAAATTTTGGTATTTTGAAATCTCATCAGGCAGTAAATGATCCTACAAAAAATTACTAATATGTGACTAAATTTAGGATAGCTTCCATCAAACAATAACTCCCGAAATTCGGTATTTTAGGCAATTTTTCAACGGAATTGGCTGTAATTTGGTATTTTGTAATTTTATTGGGTAGTAAATCTTCCTACCAAAAATGATCAATATTGGTCCAATATATATATTAGGAGATTGGGCACGTTTTCCAACCAAATTGTCTAGGATTTGGGTTCTCATTGGGTAGCAAACCATCCCAATAAATATCAACATTGGCCCATTGTTTCCACATAAGAGTAACTCCCAAATTTCGATATTTTGGGAGATTGGGCACGTTTTCCAGCCGAATTGGCTGTAATTTGATATTTTGGTTGCTCTTTGGGTAGCAAATCATCCTACCAAAATTTACAATATTGGTTAAGTTTTTTAGGGTAGTCCCCATACAACGGTACTCTCAATATTCGTTATTTTGGGGAGATTGGGCAAGCTTTTGAATTGAATAGGCTGTAATTGGATATTTTGTTTTCTGATTGGGTTGCAAATTCTCCTACCAACAATTATCAATATTGGTCCACTTTTTTTCGGCACGTTTTCCAACCGATTTGGCTTGTAATTTATTATTTTGTATTTCCATGGGGTAGAAAAAATCTTTTTACCAAAAAATTTTCAAACTCTAATTCATAATTTATTATTATTTTTTATTACAAAAAGATGAGATAAAATATGATATTAGCAAATTTTTGAACACATTTTTTTGGATTGGATTTGGATAAGTACTACGCCAGTGGGAATGGGTATGGTATTGTTTGTAAATGCCTTGTTAACCTCGAAGTGAAGCACCAGCGAAATTCTCATGCAGTTTATGTCGTTGGTCAGCTAAGTACTTTGCTTTGTTGCAAGAGACATTTGGGTATGAAAGGATTTTTGTATAGAAGCAATAGCTTCTGTGGAGAATATCCCAACAATAAAAACTAAGGGAACAGATGAGGATCAGTGGCGTGATCCGAAACTATAGTCTTCCCTGCCTTACCCCTCGGCAAACAATGCCATACATTCCCCACTAATAAATAGTTGTTTTTTTTATAAAAAATCAACAAACTGGGATTCAGCCTGACTATTTTGCAAAAACAAAATGCAAATGTATCCCAAATAAACCGCCAACACTACACGTTTTTTTTCAAACACCGTATATATATACAATACAACAACACACTATATAAATATACATATATAGTATATAACAAATTATATATATATATCACAACCAATATACTATATACCATGCAATATATTTATTTTAACTCTCTATTTTCAATAGAATCTAAGCTTTTAAATAATTACTAATTTAAATGAGAAAGAGTGGAAGGAAGCAAGTAAAAATAAAATAGAAAAGAAATAAAAACGAAACAAAAAATAAAAATTCTGAAGAAAAAAACAAACAACAAAAATAAACACAATTTGTAGTTATCTTAATATTTTATATTAGGAAAGACAGACTACATATGTATGTGTGGTCATATCGGGGTATCGTATCGTATTGGGACTTTATTATCATTTCCTATTTTGCAATAATTATTTCAATTAAAAAAAATCTCCATCATTATCTTAGTGTTGTGATATCAATTATCCAGGACCTTGAAATCGTAATCATTAATAAATAATAGGAAATCGAATTGGTATTTTTACCAAAAATTATCAATTACTGGTACACTTTTTAGCGTAGTCTCAATATAACTATGCCCCTCCCTTATTTGGTATTTTCGAATCTACAATCATTTGATATTCTATAGACTTGTATCAGTTCTAGAAAAGTTTTTTTTTTCCTAAAATAAAACTCAAGATCGCCTTTATTTTGTTTTCAATATATTTTATTTATTTGTTTATATGATTTTTTAATATATATTTCTTTATTAATATATAATATATACTATTGAAAGTTTTGCTGTGTTAAATTTTTATTTCTCGATTTTTTATAATTTTTTTATTATATAATTTTTATTATTTATTAATATTTTTTTAATATATATATATTAAGAGAGCTAGATATATTCCAGATGTGTGTGAATGGTTTTGGTATGTGGGTGTGTGTAAAAGTTAAAAAAAAAAACAATGTTTCTTGAGAATAGGAAGAAGATTTTTCGTTTCGATTTTTTTTATAAAAATTCACAAACAATGTTTAGATTTTTGTTGTTTAAATATGAATGAGCGGATATCACAAAATTTTTAAATTATAATATTGGAACTAAATACTAATTAGATATATAGTACATACATATATGTTAACCATATATATATATATATATATATCTGTGAGATGTACCTCCCAAATATGGATATTTTGGGAGATTCGATTTTTCGTAAGATGTGACATGTGTGTGTGTGATGTGGATGTTGTGAATTTTGAGGGTTTCGAAAGGGGGAAATCGTTTAAAAAATTATTATTCAAAGTAAATGAATATGATTACTTAAAAAAATACACTTAGGTCGTCGGGTTATACAGATAGATATTGCAAGTTCGGAAAGTTCATGTTTTATGAGAAAAAAAAAGAATTTCCCTTTTTAAGGCAAATAAACTAACTGTTATTCTTATAAAAGTCGAATAGAAATTTCTCTTGTCGAAGGTAAATTTCTCAAATACAATTTTAGACCAATAAGAATGTCAACAAGACTTATTCTTATAAGATATAAAAGTCTACATTTCTTGGAAATTCCATTTCCAACTCGTTGATAGCATCAAAAACAAATGGTTTTGGGTAGCTGGCTTATGCCAGAACGGCTGTTCTATAAGCCGAGCTTAAAAAAGATTTCCAGGCGCGTCGGTCTTGTTCGCATCTCATCCAATTTTAATGACCATTTTCCGAGATGTTGTCTTCTACTTGATCTTTTTATCGGATTTGTGGCCTTCCACTTCTGCGTCAACCATCACTTTGTTTGCTTTTATATGCCTTTTGAGCTGGGGCATCTTCATCCATTATCACAAGATGGCTTAGCCAACGTAGTCGCTGCAGCTCAATTCATCTAAAATGCCGATGTCCGATAATAGATGGTATAGCTCATGGTTCATTCGGTGTCGATATTCACCATCGTGGCAGTTCGGATTTTCTCTCAAACATTCCAAAAGCTGCCTCATCTGCTGGCGCAAATACCCATGCTTCTGATACAACAGCACGGGCCCTATCAGTATCTTGTAGAGTGTATGTTCGGTCTGGCGGGAGGTAACATTGTTTCTAAACTGCTTACATAGACCATAGTATCATCTGTTGGTCAACACTATTCTTCTCTGGATTTCAAAACTGATGTCATTCGTTTTGTTTATGGCGGTACCAAGGTATGTAAAATCTTTGACTACCTCGAAGCTGTAGTTTTCAAGTTCCACAGTTGGTCCGAGCTTACTGTCTTGTTCGTTGATACCATCAGCTTGGCCTTTTCGCCATTTATTGCCAGTCCCACATTGGCAGACTCCTTCGTTGAAAGGTCCACAAAAAAGAAATGTGCATGGAAAATGTCCAATAGATAGTTAAAGCCTCCGAATTATTGAAAAACAAATTAAAGAAATGTTTAGGCCCGTTTTGCCTTCAAACAATGACTATAAAAATAGTCTATGAAAAACGTCATATTGTAATATATGTCGGCTTCTTAAGCCTATGACAAATTTCAAATATTAATTTGCAGGCCGCTGAGGTGTCGGCTAAAGCTTACGAGGCCTTCCAACACAATTCCCTACACACATTCGTAGGTCTTTTTTGTATTTATAGGTCTCTGATTGTGGGCCTCTGATACCTTCGAAAGCTTACCTACCAAGGGAATAGGCCAGAAAACCCCAACATGACAATTTTGAAGGCCTCGGAGCGCTACGGCCTCTGAGTGGTACGATATATATTTTCTTTAATTTTAGACCTAAGTGTATTTTTATGTAGAGGATAGAAAGAGGGGGAAAGGGTGTATTTTGTTGTGTTCTATTTTCTTTTTTAATAAATATATCTTAAGTGTAAATTGTTGTTATAGTATTTTTTATAACATCTAACTAAACTACCTGCTAAAAAAAAGAGGAGCTCCTCTCATTATTTCTATAATTATTGATTTGATTTCATTGTCTTTAGATCCTTGATGGGGGGAGGGGAAGGGGGACAAAAAGTTGATTTCCTTTATAAAAGTGAAATGAAAACTATTCCCTATAAATCGGATACAAGAAATTGTGAGATTCTTCTTCTTTTTTTTGCTGCAAAACGAGATCGAATAATACCTTAGGTGTTATTGTTGTTATTGGAATGTTAAGAAAGTAATATTTCATTTCTATGCCTCTCCTATTCCGGCACTCGGGCATTACAATTGCCATGATACATTTTAATACGTCCCTTACAGGTGAAATATTTATCGAATACATCACTGTAACCATGGTCTTTCCACCATGTACATAGCTGCCGATTCCATATGCAATCAAGGCGATAAATTAAGTTGGGAAATTCATAACCCAATAGGGTAAAGAAATCCTGATCACCCAGATGGCCCTTGAACATATATTTAGTGGTTAGCTTGCGTACCTGAACATCCTGCAGCTGATGATGGTACAGCGGGGATTTGCGTATACGCTGTAAATGCAAGAGAACAACACCAGAATTTAAACCAGGATAACCATGTTTCCCCGAGGAGACATGGTATCTCTCCAGTTTATGCATTTTATGGGCGTTATGCAGAACCAACGAGGATTCTTCTGAAACCATATTATTAGCTGCCATTTGTTGCTGCTGCTGCAGTTCCTGATGTGAAGGTGGCAAATAGAAAGGACTACCAAAATCGGTTTGGGGATAATTCGCCCTATATCGATACAATATATGACGATAGACCGGTGTCAATTCCGGTGCCAAACCAAACAAATGATCAGCTGAGAACCGCTCAAATTCATTGAACAAGAGCCGTACATCAGCCCGGAAGACTATGTCACAATCGAGTAATATTGCACGTTCCATTCGTTCATCGGCGATGCGATGTAGGCCCAGTGAAAGGAAGAAAAGGGCATCACTGTAATAGGATTTGGGTGTAGAACTAAAGTAAGGTGTCATGGTGTTGACAATGTCCATCACCTGTTCGGCACACAAGTGCATGCTGTACAGGCTATAGATAATGGTACGTCTATAACGACGTATCTCAGATTCCAAGATTTGTTCGACGGAATGGCCACTTGTTTCGTCGGTGAGTACATGTAGGTGCAGCAATACTCCGGAGTTGGCGAACTTCAAAAGGCTCTTGGCGAACAATTCAAATTTGACATGGAGTTGATAGTTCTCCTTTGTGTAAATCACAAATATATTATAATCCGTAGAGGTTTCGTAGTCACCAGCTGCCGCGCCACCTCCACCAGGTGCTAAATTATATATCTGCACCGAGCCGTTACGCATTGTGGGTGGTTTTAACAATATGGTCTTCATAATCAAAGACTTTCTGGGCCGACGTGAGGTTGTTGAACTTATTAGCCAGTCATTTCCGTCACCTCCCGCTTCTCCATTATTAAGTGGCAGTGTTGTTTCCTCCAATTGTCCAGCATTTATCATACGACGCTCTTCCATATCCTCTTCTGCAGCAGCATCATTGTTGCCAAAGGCTGCCGCTGCTGCATGTTCACTGCTATGCTCCTCCCCCTTGGTCAGAAACAGGGCAAACAGCGATCTACGACCTATGACCGAGGTATTGGCATAGAAAATTATAACACATACAATTGCCGATATGATGAGAAACATGAATTTGGCCATTTTCAAATGACCCAGCAGACCCAATTTACGGCTGGCACCACTAATTAACTTTTCACCCGCTCCCGGAGACATTTCGGCCATGTTATGTATTCGAGCCAGGATCAAAATTTAAATAAATTCGATGCCTTTTCCTAAAAAACGAAAACAATTTTCAGTTAAATACAATTAGTTTTATAGAAAAAAACCAATAAAAAATTACGCACCGACGCAAAAACACACCGACACACGAACTAGTTCAAATTAGTGAACTATTCACTGAAAGGATACTAATGAACTAATTCAAAAAAAAAATTAAAAACGTTCCATCATATCAAAACTTTCTACCGAAATGAAAAACGTTCCAGCTGTTACAATTTGGGGAAAAGAAGAAAAATTAATCGATAAATAATGAATTCAAAGTGGAAACTGGCAACATTTACCAATGATGAGTGATGGATTGAAACCGATTAAAGTGGGCCACACACGTCAAACATGTACGTTCGATCGGTGTGAAGCTCCTAGCCCACACACGTCAAACGGATCCACAAAACTTCATTTCGAATTTATTTTTGAAGCGTTAAGATGGACAGCGATAGCGATGACGGAAAAAAGGCCAAACATTTTTATTTAATTTAAATGTATTAAATACTTTTATTTCATTCCGGGAAAAACATTTTTATTTGCCAGACTGTAGAATATGTGTAAAAAAATATCAAAAAATCTTCCAAAACGTTTTTTTGCATATGTTTGATATTGTCCGCTGATGTGCACTCCACGAAATTTCGCAACAAATGAGAAAATATCCACACACCAGCCCACAGACGTCAAACATGTGCGCGTCGCACAACGAAAAATTAAAATTTTTTAATTTCTTTCGATCGGTGTGCGCACCGGCAAATCGGTGTGAACACCGTACCACACACGTCAAACATTGCTTCGATTCACACCGATCGAACGCACATGTTTGACGTGTGTGGGCCACTTAAGTATCGAGGGTATTGTTGTCAAGATCTATTAATAGAGATCGAAATGGGAAAACAGCTGTTTTTTTTCTCACGTTTGATGTCAAAAATTTGAACTTTGTTTACGTTTTCATAATGGAAGTCAATTCAAAATAATGAATTTGACAGTAAACTTGAGTGGCTGCTGATACCTAGCTGGTCTTCCTGGATGACCTTATCTATAGGCCTTGATTGTTGTGAAAGAGGAGGCCATGGCACAATGAATAGGTAGTCCATTTAGCACAGCTGATGTCTTGATTAACTGTCAAAGTGTGTAATTTCTACTTGAATTCGATGTGCAGTGTTGCCAACTATTTGAAATATTATATGTAAAATTTTGACAGATAATCGAGACAAAAACAAAGGTTTTTGTTTTGATACATCACCTTATTATTACATCATAGGCATGGGGAAATTGCCGATTATGAATATCGCAAATAGTAATAAAATTTAATAACAAAATTAAAAAGGAGCTGTAAGCGTGGATTTAAAAAAAAAATATTTTTATTATAGAAAGTGGGGAGCTGAAAGTTTGGATTTTTTATTTTTTAGAAATGCACAAGTCGAAGTCGTAGATTTTTTAAAAATATTTTTGGAGACTAGAACGAAGCGTGGATTTTTAAAAATATTTTTAGAGACTCTTTAAAAATATATTTTTGGATGTTTAACCAAGCCCTGAAATTTTTAAAAAATATTTTTGGAGCTTTAACCAAGACTTGAATTTAAAAAAAATTTTTTGAATTAAAAGTATTTTTATTTTTAAATTATATTTTTATTTATTTATTAAAATAGTTTACAAGCAGAAGAACATTTGGTTTGGACATTTTTCATGCTTTTTGAGATCCATATTATTTTGTGGTGGTGGTGTGGTGTATGTTGGTTATCATCTACACTGCAATTACAATGGGAGAACAATAATTGTTTTAAAATTGTTGTATCAGTTTGACATATTTTCGAATATGCGACTAAAATCGACAGTACATCTACGTTGGGTAATACTTAATCGAAGTGATTTGATTTGGAGAGGTGGATTAGTAATACTGAGAGTTCCATATATTTTTATATTACAATTAATGTATTTGAAGTTATTTGATTTTTGTTGTTATTGTTGTTTAGTAATGCTCCACCGTTCGGTTGCTGCTGCTGGTGCTGCGTCATTGTGGCAATTTATGTTTTGTATTTTCGCAATAACATGGCCCAGACATCGGGGTATTTGGTTTGTAAAAATGTTGTCAACTTTTGGGCATTTTGGGCCTGCTGTGGTGAACAGTTGCGGCAATTGCGTACAATTACCTCGGGCAGAGCGGCTGCAATGAAAATAAAAAAAAAAAACAACAAATAAATTAAACAATTTGTTCATATCTTGTCTTCTATAATTTGCGTTAAGGTAATTTTTTATAGACCTTAGCTTAATTGTTATTGAAATGATCTCAGCTATGATGTGTGGCCAAGATATGGAGGGTTTAACTTCAAATTGTTTATTATCTATTCATTTTATTGTAATGTGTATAATTTAATAAGACCACTTAACGACTGGTGTATTTAGTGATGTGTAACGGAAACAATTATGCTATTCTGATTAGCGTTATACCCTACACTACGGCAGATCTTAGTATTGAAAAATGTTTTTAAAAAAACCAAAGCCTTGTGGAAACTTCAGAAAATATTTTTTAAAAAATCCACGCCTTGTGTATTCTTCAAAAAAATTTTTTGATTGAAAAATATCGTTTGTCAAAAATATTCATGAAAATGTTCAAACTCGTGACAAAAATAAATAATCATCAGCTGATGTTTGTTTACATTCGAAATGTACACAGCTGATTACACAAAATACAACTCTAAAATATCCCAACACAGCTTAGACTATAATTTCAACAAACCATGTTTGTAGGGGATTTTATAGTCCCTCTATACCATCTAAAACCCTATTGAACTTGTTTTATTTATTTCTGTTCAAAGAAAATCATTAAATATATCGTATAAATTATAATTTATGACGGCATGACGTATGTGTGTAAACGTGACGTATTTTATTTTCCTGTTTATTGCTCTCATGTCAATCATGGAATAAAAAAATATTGACGTCATGCAGCTCTGATTGCCGGTTCCGATACTGACGCGGGTTTGGGAAATTGCCAATGGAAAAAAAAAGATAAAATAAAGTTCAACTGCGTAAGAATCGCAATGCTGAGTCATTAACTTAACCATTGACCCGAATTATACAAAATCTAGAAAGCTCTAAGCGATATGTTTCGACTTTCTCTGAAGAGATGAAATAACGAATTGTTCTCTTTGTTTTATTTTTCAATGTCACTGTCTGGTATCCGATTTGTTTGGTTTCCAGAACCTACCATAATTTTTGCCAAAACAAAGGTTAATAAATTCCAAAACCAAAATACGAACGATCGAAAATGATAATGAATCGAATAAAAATTTGTCTAAATTTGATATTCAAATGTTATTTTGGAATATATATTGGCCAGTAGCAACAAATTGGTTTCATAAATTAAAGGAAATTAATAATAAAAAAACAATTAATTCGGAAATATTATAATTTGTTTAATTTGATATTGTTTTGTTAAAATGTTTGCAAAAATAAAACCTAGAAAACTACATTAGATTATAAAGACATTTGAAAACATTTCATTGGAATAAAATTAAATATTCAAATGAATAGTAAGAGAGAGATAAACCTCTTTAGATATGTAAATATTAAATGTTTATTTATCTGGCATGTGTAAACCTAATGTTAATTGCTTGACATTTGTTCTAATATGGCATATTCCCGTATTTAAAAACTGGTAAACATTTTTTAATTTAATAAGAAGAAATCGAACAAAAAAATGTCTATTAAAAAATTCTTTCAGGTTCTAGTTTCATAATTCATGCCAGAGAGGTATTTATATTTTGTGTCCACTGAGACCTAACTGTACTGACTTTGGTTGATTTATTTTTTAAAATGCTTATTAGCCAAACTAATTAATACAACAAACTTGTTATATAGATCGCTTGAGGCACAATAGATTTAAATTGGTTACTGCTTCAAATCAATTTATATTGTCGTAGGACAATCAAAGTTCAATCGCATAAATATTGAAATGAATACCTATAAATGGTACAGAAAATAAAAAAAAAACACAAAATATATTTGAAGATCGTATGCCTTGGTTTGAATATTTTAGAGTTGTATTTTGTGATAATGTGTCTTGTGTAAAGGGAGTTTTTAAGGCAATCAGCTGTGTACATTTCTCGTGTAAACAAATATCAGCTGATGGTTATTTATATTTGACCTATTTTTTGAATAACTTACAAGGCAAGAATTGTTTAAAAAATATTTTTGGAGGTTGGAGGAGGCGTGGATTCTTAAAACAATATTTTTTTGAAATTTCCACAAGGCGTGGATTCTTAAAACAATATTTTTTGAAGTTTCCACAAGGCGTGGATTTTTAAAACAGTATTTTTTGAAGATTCCACAAGGCGTGGATTCTTAAAACAATATTTTTTTGAAATTTCCACAAGGCGTGGATTCTTAAAACAATATTTTTTGAAATTTCCACAAGGCGTGGATTCTTAAAACAATATTTTTTGAAGTTTCCACAAGGCGTGGATTTTTAAAACAGTATTTTTTGAAGATTCCACAAGGCGTGGATTCTTAAAACAATATTTTTTGAAGTTTCCACAAGGCGTGGATTTTTAAAACAGTATTTTTTGAAATTTCCACAAGGCGTGGATTCTTAAAACAATATTTTTTGAAGTTTCCACAAGGCGTGGGTTTTTAAAACAGTATTTTTTGAAGATTCCACAAGGCGTGGATTCTTAAAACAATATTTTTTTAAGTTTCCACAAGGCGTGGATTCTTAAAACAATATTTTTGAAATTTCCACAAGGCGTGGATTCTTAAAACAATATTTTTTGAAGTCTCCTTAAGGCGTGGATTCTTAAAACAATATTTTTTGAAGTCTCCTTAAGGCGTGGATTCTTAAAACAATATTTTTTGAAGTTTCCACAAGGCGTGGATTCTTAAAACAATATTTTTTGAAATTTCCACAAGGCGTGGATTCTTAAAACAATAATTTTTTGAAATTTCCACAAGGCGTGGATTCTTTAAACAATATTTTTTGAAGTTTCCACAAGGCGTGGATTTTTAAAACAGTATTTTTTGAAGATTCCACAAGGCGTGGATTCTTAAAACAATATTTTTTGAAATTTCCACAAGGCGTGGATTCTTAAAACAATATTTTTTGAAATTTCCACAAGGCGTGGATTCTTAAAACAATATTTTTTGAAATTTCCACAAGGCGTGGATTCTTAAAACAATATAATAAATATGCTGGCCTTTTTAGGTCAGATTTCTGTTATAGAAGGTCACAACCTGAGAACAAAAATCCACTTGTCCTGATTTTCAATATACACATCACAATAACAACAACAATGACATATTTTTTTCGGTTGCGGTCATAAAACTTTAACAATGACCTTAGAAATACGAACAAAGAAAAAAATAGAAAAAATCCGAATATTTTGAAAAAAAAAAAACATAACAAAAACTCGATTCCATTTACCTTTCAGTTGACGTCCCAATTGGTCGCAGGGACTTTTCTCCAGGACACACATTATCTGGCGGCTGACAATCACCTGATTATTCAGCAGCTTGTTAATATTCTTCTCGTCGCCATGGACGACGGCAGCAGCAAAAATCAAACCGATGACAAAGGATAAAAGGACATGTCTCATCATGGGTTTCATAATGCCTGTGACCTGTTTTTTTCGGGATGCAATGGACCAAAATGAAACTCACACACACACACACACGGACAGGAACTTTCACTTGCCTAGGGGGTAGATTAGGTCGCAGTCCCTTTTTATTGGCTGCTGCAGGACGTTTTTAAGGAATGAATTTGTTGTTCTAAAATAAATAAAAAAATAAACATTTTTTATTTTATTGCTGCTTATGTTGTTGTTGCTGTGAGACAATCAATTTTTGTTAATTGCCAAAATTGAATTGAAATTACGTTTTCTGAATTTTTAATTAAATCGCGTCAAAGCGTGAGACAGATTAGCTAAATGAGGCGTCCGATTACTTTGTTCTCCGTTTGTCACAACTTTTTTTTTGTTTTTTTTGAATCAGTTGTGTATTGAAGGAAGTCGCTTAGATGATGGGGCTGCTGACTGGCTGGCGGATTGGCTGCTTGGCTGGCTGGATGTTGCTTGGTTCGTACGTGCTCTATGCTACGTACGTAAATATCTACTGATTTTTGGCATTTGCTATGCTGATGTTGTTGCTGTAATTTCCTGGTGGCCCGAATCAACAACAAAAAAACTATGCATGCGCATCACATAGCGCCACCGAACAATAACAACAACATCAAAGACTCTACATATATGTATGACTAGTCGGATGGATGGCAGCCTGGCTGTCCGTCCGTCCATACCCTCTCGTCTGTCTCGTGGTTTGTTATACACATTTGTGTTGTGGGTACTAATTTTTTTGCTTTGGATTTTGGTTTGGCACAACATAACTTTTTGTGTCGTCATCAGATGGAGTCTTCTTCTTCTACTTAGTCACGCCAAGAGGTGTAAGAACTCGTTCAGAACTCAACCTCACTCCTCTGAACATGTTAACCCTTAATTGGAATTACTTTCGCTTTTTTCTTTGGTTGTAACCAAACTTGGTATATGAATTCAAAATTAATTTCAGATTTTTAAATTAGGGGGATTTTTTTATTTTCTTGGCTCTTCTCACTAATCTTGGCAGTAATTCGTCACTAGATATGAAAACTAATTGGCATACTAAGAATTCTACCTCTTTTTTATTGCCAAAATGTGTCGATGTGGTTTCCGCATTAGGTATTCAAATCAGACATTCTCAAAAGTTCATCGAAATTATATGGAACGTGTGCTGAAATGAAAAAATATTCCAAGATTAATGGCATACAAAAAAATGTTTTTGTATCGAAAAAAACAAGGCATGGTTGTTATTAAAAATCTTTTTCGATGCTAGAATGAGGTGTTGATTATTAAAAAAAGAATATTTTTGAAAGAGGCTTGGATTAAAAAAAAAATGGAAACTATTAATAGGCGTGGACTTTTTAAAATATATATTTTTGGAAGCTTGAAAGAGGGGTGAGGGTGGTGTAGGGGATGATAGATACCAAGCAACGGCTCTGATTGGCTTTAACATGGCGAAGTCCAGGCTTATCTTGGTCATTCTTTTTGATCTCAATTGTGGACACTGACCTCCCCGTGGTGCCACCTGGAGTAGCTATTTTCATCACCCGATGAAATAGTGAGTTAATATGAGCCGCGAGTTCATGCATAAGAACTATAAAAAAATAGGTTCAGGCGTCGGGTTATTTGCTCACTATGGGAAAATTGAACCTACTATGAAAAAGCAAAGAAAAAGAAAACCAAACCCCCCCAATGTTGACGACCCCCGCAAGCGTATAAAGGACCACGATCTGCGAATCTGCACTTGGAATGTGCGCACGTTGTACAGAACAGGCGCAGTTTTCGCCTTGGCGAATGTACTCAAGAAGTACAAAGGCGATATTATTGCCTTACAGGAAATGCGATGGAAAGGGACTGGCGTAAGTAAATCAGATGATTACGCCCTGTATTATAGCTGCCATGAAACGAGATATGAATTTGGATGCGGATTTATGGTTAACAGGAGAATAAAAGAAGAAACCCATGGTACGATCAGGAGTGTCGTAATGCTACTGATGTGAAAAACGCAGCGTATAGGGCAACCCTACAGACAGTAGCTACACGTAATGAAGGAGAACTATCGGGAAAAACGAGAGAGGAGAAAGGTATTTTCAGAAAAAAGAAGAAAGAACAAGAAAACGTGAGCGTGAGCAAATCGAGATGTACAAGAGTCAGAATGAAGTCCGAAAATTCTACCAAAGGGGAAAACACCAAACCGAAGGCTTTGGTGCAGGTACATCCTCCTGTAGAGATGAAGAAAGAAACCTGGTGACAGATATAGACAGCGTGTTGAGGATCTGGAAGGAGCATTTTGAAAAGCGGTGAAGGGGTTACCCCAGAACCAATAATAGACGACGGTATAGAGTGTACACCGCCTAGCCAAGATGAAGTTAGAATAGCAATCAATCGGCTGAAGAATAATAAAGCAGCAGGTGCCGATTGGCAACAAGCCGAACTATTCAAGACTGGTGATAAGATGATGGTAAGGAGCATGCCCAATGATTGGAACCTCAGCATCCTGTCCCCCGTGCACAAAAAAGGAGACAAGATGATATGTGCCAACTATAGAGGAATAAGTCTCCTTCACATCACATGGTCAATGGCATTATTGGACCATACCAATGCGTCTTCAGACCTGCCAAATCCACCATTGAACAGATTTTCACTCTGCGCCAAATCCTGGGAAAAACCCACGAAAACACATCGACACATTCCACCTATTCGTCGACTATAAGGCCGCATTTGACAGCCCTGTCCGTTCGGAGGTGTATAAAGCCATGTCTGCGTTTGGCATTCCTGCAAAATTAATACGGCTATGCAGGATAATTTTAAGTGGCACAAGGTCAGCAGATAAAGTCGGAAAGGACTTATCGGAGCCCTTTAATACCGAACGAAGATTCAGAAAAGTTGGCAGTTTGTCGTGTGAACCATCCTGCTGGAAAAGGTCATACGAGACGCAAAGGTGAACAGAAATGCCAATGACATCGATATAATGGGTCGAACATTGCCAGCGGTAACAGCCACGTTTGAACAAATTGAGAAGTAGTCTACCAAAGTGGGCCTGACAGTAAACGGCGAGAAGACCATGCTGATGGTATCAACGTGCAAGACGTCCAGTAGACACGGACCAACTGTGGAACTTGAGAACTACAGCTTCGAGGTAGTTAAAAATTTTATATACCTTGGTACCGCCATAAATAAAATGAATTACAGTTTTGAAATTCGGAGATGGATTGTGATGGGCAACATATGCTACTATGGTCTATGTAAGCAGTTTAGAAACAAGGCCACCTCCCGCCAGACTAAACTTATACTTTACAAGACGCCGATACTATCCGTGCTGTTATATAGATCTGAAGCATGGGTAGTTGCGCAAGCAGATGAGGCAGCTCTTGGGGTGTTTGAACGAAAAATTCTCGGAAAGATCTACGGGGCGATCTGCGTCGACGGTGAATATCGGCGTCGAATGAATCACGAGCTCTACAATTTATACGCGGACATGGATATAGTCAGTCGTATTGAGCTGCATCGACTACGATGGCTAGCTGGCCATGCTGTGCAAATGAATGAGAATGTCCCAGCTTAAAAGGTATATAAAAGCTAGCCTATTGATGGAAGGGGAAGGCCACGAATTAGATGGAAAGATCAAATAAAAAACAACATCTTGGAACGTGGTCTTCCAAATTGGTGGAGATGCACACAAGACCGACGCGCTTGGAAATCTTTTTTAAGCTCGGCTCATGGAACAACCGTCCTATAACAAGCCAGCTAAGTAAGTAAGCTAGGAGGAGTGGATTTAAATATATATATATATATATATATTTGGAGCTGAAAAAGGACGTGGTTAAAAAATCAAAGCTCTCTTTAAGCTCCTCTTTTTAAAGAATCCACACCTTGTGTATTTTTAAAAAAAAAAAATATTTTTTTTTTAATTTCACGCCTTGTGGTTCCTTCAAAAAAATAATTTTTACAAAATCCACGCCTTGTGTTTGTATTGAAAAATATTTTTTTCAAAAATCTACACTTTTTAAAAAGCAATATTTTTTTTTAGAAATTTCAATATTCCCATTGCCCACTTACAATGTTGCTAATTACATATTACATAAATAAATATTAAAAAAATATGTAATTAAAAAATAATTGTTGTTGTTTTGATTAACCTCATCGAATCGTAATCGCAATTACCACCCAGTAAATTGGAGTAATTAACGGCTTAGCAATTGATTTGAGTGACCCCTCCTGATGATTGCTTGCTTTCCGTGAGTCATCATCACCTTTGATTTGTTTATCCAGCCCAACTACAAAGTGAGGAAATTAAACAGCAAATTGAGAGAAACTAATCTATAATTGGGTGTGTTAAATTTTTATAAATCCATACGAATATATTATTGGAGTTTTCAAAAAATCAATCGATAATTACATTCAATTATGGGTATAAAGAAAATCCCAAATCAATATTTTTTCAATATTTTTAAAAAAATATATATTTTTTTTAATTTTAGAATCTCTACTCCAGTTAATGTCACCATCTGTCATTTAGTTGTTATTTGGTTCGGAATTGTTTCCATATGAACTGTCATTAACCTTTTGAGATGTAAACGTTATTATTTTAATAGTTTCCATGTATGTCACTACAATTATCAAGGTTCTTGAGATATTAACAAAAACAAAAACAACAATTATCTTTTTTATTACATAATTTTTTTATTTCAAAAACTTTCTTAAACAATTTATTTTTTTTATACACTCCTAATGGGTTCAGGGTCCGTCCAAAATGGAGTTCAAAATCATTTAGCCAATTTCATGTTGTTGTTGTTGTTGCTTTTGCAAACGATAAATCAGTTAAAATAAATGCTTCAGTGCCCATTGGGGTCACACAAAAAACAAAAAGAGACTAAGTCAGTCTACCTGCCTGCCTGACTGCCTCATTCTTGTGTTATTTGCGTGTTCTTGGCCATTGGAGCCTCAGAGTAGCTGATCGCCGACATTGCTTTGGTTCTTAGTAGACAATAATTTAATGAATAGTAGTATTAACAA